TCTCCCGGCATCAGCCTATTTGCCTCAGTCCTATGGCAACCAGATTTATGGCTGCAACACCGCGGTAACTGTTGAGCATGCCCAGCGTCGCGCTGCACAGACCCCTCTTTTCCCAACAGCAAAAGCAGCACCGGGGAAGAAGCCGCAGAGGAGCATAGCAAATGAATTAATTTTGAGCATCTCTTGTCAATTAAAATTGCTCTGTAATGTCCTTTGGCAAAGCTGATTTTTTTTTTCCTTTGAAGTGAGTTTTGAGTTCTCCTTTGACACAAATTAGCACTTGTGGCTATTTACTCAGATGTCAGCTTAGTATTTCATTTTGTTTTTCGTGGTGGAATTTTTCATGAGGCCTGAGGAAACTGGGTTTTCCAGACATGCCATTAGAAGTGAAACATTGTTTTGGTAAACGTGAGAAGAAAATTGGTAAATCCAGAAGACATTTTCTTACATATTCTGTGGAATTTAGTTTCCATTTTGTCTTTCAGTCTCTCACAATTTTGGACAAATAAGAGTTTTCTGCCTAAGTATTTACAGTTTCTACAGCTACTAAGGTGAGAACTCTCTTGACTTCCTTTGCTACAGAACGCTTATGCTGTGTCATACCATCTATTTTCTATATGACACTCTAGAATAATAAAAAACACTTGGAAAGCAATCAAGGCAGACAATTAATATCTTTTGAAATTTGCAATGCATGGATTTTCTCTTCTAATACAGCCTTGACTATAAAATCTATTTTGCAAAACTCCTTCCCCCCCCTCCCCCCAGGAATCTAGACTTCTAATTATTCAAATAGTTTTAGAAGTGAAAACCTGTTACTTTTCTGGAACCCTTTAAAAACAGCCAATGTATATGCTACACACTGATCATCATAGGAAAATTTTTCCATGGCAGAGACTTATTACAAAGATGGAACTAAAATTTGTCAACAGGAAGTTTTTTAACAATGAGATATGAATAGCGACCTGAATTTCTAATGATTCTGAAACTTGCCTTTTTCCCGTTGATGTGTTTTGGCTCAGCGGATGAAAGTTATCACAGCCCATTCTGCGGCTGAATCCTGTCAGCGGGTTCTTTGGAGGCAGCAGTGGGAACAAAGTACTGCTGAATGGCAGCGATTCGTGACTGGCGTGGGTGCTGCTGGAAGCTCATGCCAGTCGTGGTCTATCAAAGTAGCTTCAGGGCTACTCCAGCTTAGGCTGAGTGCCAGTTGCCTCCCAGCAGTCTCAGG